GAGAGGCGGAACACGTTCTATGGCCCCCTTCCTCAAGAGAGTATCTACTTCTTGTTCCATTACCAGAGCCTGCTCGGGGCCCACTAGTGTGGGGATGACCCCGTTGAAACGAGGCGGACGAGAACCGAACTGGATTCTGTAACCTTTCTCTACAATCTGCCGGACCCATTTTGAGATATTTGGTAGCGGTTTCCACGCTACCAGAAAATCTACTAAGGGAACTCTCGAGGCTGGCCTCTGGTGTTATTAAAGGAGCCAGTTCAGTGCCCTGAAGTGGATGACCGGCAGGGAACGACCGACCTGACTGCTGTAGCACCCTCACTCGAGGGGGCGAGCTCTCCCATGCCGTACCGTCGCCGGGCGGCAGCTGGGAATTTTGCTCGTTGGAGCTCACTGAGCCCTGAAGCACCGAGGGTGGCAGGGGTATCAGTGACTCTCCGTGAGGGCACTGAGGAGGATCGGGCACTGTATACTGAGGCGTTATCCTTTCTTCCCCAGGTGGGGCTGCCCTCAGGGGCCTGACGATGTTGGCATCAGGACCGCTTAGTCGAGGTCCTCTTCGACAAAATAACGGTCCGCAGATCCATCTTCGGTCTTGAAGACCCCGACTGAGAGCGTCGTCCCGACCCCCGTTCTTTTTGCGGAGGGGTGCGGGTTGCAACGCTCTGTTTTTGTGACTGGCGGTATGAGGGGCTTGACGGCTGGGGCTGCTCCCGCTCAGCAGCCCCATGGGCCTGGGAGCGACGAGGGAGGAACCGTTGAAACGCCGCTGCTTGCTTTCTTGCTTCCTGAAACCTCTCGACGACGGTGTTAACTGCATCGCCGAAAAGGCCAGCGGGCGAAAGCGGGGCGTCTAGGAGGAAGAATCAGTCCTTATCTTGCATATCGGACAGATTCAACCCCAGATGCCGCTCCGTGGCCACCATTGCTGCCATTGAACGGCTGATAGCTCTGGCCGTTTCTTTGGTGACTCGGAGGGACAAATCTGTGGCCCGACGCAGTTCAGCTACCACGTCGGATTCCCCCTCCTCCCTGTCATCCAGGTCCTTGAGTAGATCAGCCTGGTATGCTTGTAACACCGCCATGGTGTGCAAGCATGCGCCAGCCTGACCTGCCGCCGTTTAAGCTTTCCCAACCAGACTAGATGTCAGCTTAACAGGCCTGGTGGGAAAGCTTCGGGGCCTTCAGGGACAATGCTGAGGATGGGGAGAGATAGCTCGCGAGCGTCTGCTCCACAATTGGCATCATCCCATATCCCTTCTCATTCAGCCCCACGATATTGGAATAATTAGAGACTGTGGGGCTATAGATACGGGAATAATACGTTTTTTCCCACGATCTTGACACCTCGGCATGGAGATCGGGAAAAAACGGAAGGCTGTGACCTCGCCCTCAGGAAACGCTCACCTAATTTGCTCTTAGGACGAGCATCCTGTTTCTCGGCTGGCCAATCGATATTTAATTTGGCTACAGCACGAGTCACAACCTCCACGAGCTCCTCATACGCGAGGGACTGTGGTGGCGAGTCCACAGTCTCCTCTGTCTCGACACTCATCACCTCTACCTCCTCGGAGGAAGATAGATGAAGTGCCTGGCTCTCTCTCTGGGGGAAGAAACCGCAGTGCGAGCTTCCGAACCCTGAGAGAGAGCCGCGGATCTAGCGGGTGAGGACCGAGAAAAGGACGAGCCCGTCTCGGATCCCTCCGCTAAATCCACTTGCGATCCCCATGACAACAGTCTGCGCTGTGCCTCGGCAACAGCGGGACCGCTGCCAGCGGGATCGCGAGCCTGACCGCTTTCATCGAACACGGCCAGGCGAGAGCGGAGCGTGCGCAGCGAGAGCAGCTCGCAGTCATGACAGCCAGCCCCCTCGAGAGCTGACCGTGCGTG